AAATTAAATTAAAAAAATTAATAATTTTTGGACAGGTTGTTTCAATGTCGAAGAAAATCTGGCAGCCCTAATTACACCCTTAGGTGAGATGATTCCCTTGATGGCCTTCACAGATTCCCCCACTAACAACACAGTACCCAAAAGAAGGGAAGCCGACTTCCCTGGAACTCACCTTCGTCCTCTGAAACATCCAGGATTTCGTCTACTGTCTCTGGGAAACTCATCCGATGCTTGTCGCTGAAGGACTGCAAAAGGCACCAGGTGAGACTGGGGCAAAAGCCTCGGGGCTGAAAGAATCCGTTACAGGGGCAGGCTTGGTTCCACTCACCAGGAAGCTGGTCTCCTCGGTGACAATTTTCAGCACATCCGTCACGGAAATGTAGCCCAGCCGCTTCGCGATGGCCAAAGGAGTGGCCCCATTCTGTGGAGTGAGACGGAGGGAGAAATCCCCATCAATCATACCAATATGGGTGCGGTTTTATTCTGGAAGAGCTAGTCAAAGACAAGGGCAGGGAGCTAACCATGGTGCTGAAATCCTGCTTCCTTCAACCACTGCAAACCTGATGGAACAGCTTTCTGGATGCTTTCCATTGTTCGGGGGGGGGGATTAAAAAACCCCATGTGGTCCTTACTGCTCTTTCGTTTGGCTCTGGATTCTTGATATTTTAAAACGTTTTGCCCACATATTTGTCTCCATACCGTTCTTAGTGGCTAGAAACTCACTTTTAAAAAGAAAAAGAAAGAAATGGAAGCTGACACCCTCAGGAATGTATAATAAATAGAACGACAGAATTGGATGGGACCGTGTGGATCACTGAGTCCAGCCCCTGTCTAGAAGGCACAGTGGGGAATCGAACTCACAGCGCCTGGCTCTGCAGCCAGAGACCTACGTAAATCACTGAGATTAGCAGTGCTGGGTGGAGGTGGTTCATGGCAATATTTATGGTATGCGTACAGCTGTGCATGCTGACTCATGGCTTTTCAAGATGCCCTTCTGCACATGTTATAATAATAACTACAATAATAACAATGTTAGCACTGCAGAGCTGGAAGGGACCTTATGAATCATTTAATCCCGACCCTGTCAAGGAGACACAGTGGGGAATTGAACTCTGAACCCCTGGCTCCACAGAATTAACACTATCTTGGGTTTCCTTTTCCTGCCTTTTCAAAAGTTTTTGCTTCGTGTGTGTCCTGGGCCTCAACCAGGCATGGATCCCAGTGTGAAACAGCCCACAAGTTAGAGTGCAATAAAACAGAAGCAACAGGTGATCTAAGGAGAGGCTGGAGGTAGAATCATAATTGATTTAGAAGGGGGCCTCTAAAAGCCATTGAGTCCAAACCCCCTGCTTAATGCAGGAATCCAAATCAAAGCAGGTCTGACAGATGGTTGTCCAATATTCCCTTGAATGGCTCCAGCGTTGGAGCGCTCACTGCCTCTTGAAGTCATTGATTCCACTGTCGTACTGCTCTAACAGTTAAGACCTTTTTCCTGATATGCAGCCTAAATCTGGCTTCCTGCAGTTTGCACCCATTCTTGTGTGTCCTGCACTCTGGGATGACTGAGGACAGATTCTGCCCCTCATCTGGATGACTACCCTTCAGTTAATTGAAAAGTGATATCCTATATCCCCTCAGTCTTCTTTTCTCAAGGCGAAACATACCCAGTTCTCTTAGCCTTTCCTCATGGGGCTTGGTTTCCAACTAGCTGTTGCCCTTCCTCTGAACTTGCTCCAGTTTGTCTACATCCTTCTTCAAGTGTGGTGTCCAGAATTGTACACAGCACACAAGGCGAGGCCTGACCACTGCTGAATAGAGGGGAACTAGTACCTTGCAAGATTTGGAGATGGTACCTCTGTTAGGTCTAGGTAGCTGCCCGGATCCCCAGGTCCATGAGTTCCCAGACTCACCGAACTGACTTCGTTGGGTGAGGCCCCATGCTTCAGCAGGAGGGTGACAATGTCTGTGTGTCCTTGCTGAGCAGCTTGGTGTAACGGGGTGTACCCAAGCTGCAGCGGGAAGAGAAATAGACAATAATCATGATCCAGGAGACATCTGGAGCAGTTTGGGAATCCTAAATGGGCCTCAAAGGCCCGCTTGCCAGCCTTCCCGAGGCAGCCCATTCCACTGTACAGAGGTTTTCACTCTTGCACATTACACTGAATACATTTCCTAATAAATAATAATAGAAACAATGTATGCTCGTATGTCAACCTGACTTCTTCCCAACAGAGTAACACAACAGGGATCACAAAATAATTTTTGTAAAGTATTAAAACAACTAGCAACACAATATGTGATTGTGTTCAAAAATTACACATACTAATAATTTTAAAATACTAAACAAAACCTTTTCGAAATAATTTGAAAATGCATTTTGAAAAATAAAAACAGACCATCAAAAACCCTTCCCGAAGAGCCTTGTGGTGCAGTGCTTAAACTGCGGTACTGCGGTCAAAGCTCTGCACACAACCCGGGTTCAATCCCAGGTAGCCACCATGAGGTTCACTCCGCCTTCCATCCTTCTGAAGTTGGTAAATTGAGTATCCAACTTTGTGGAAGGTGGCCATGTCTGGCCTGCATAATTAAATTATAACCTGCCCAGAGACCACGTTAAGCACCATGAGGGGGTATATAAGCAGCACACTTTGCTTGCAGAAATTACACAAGGGTGCGTGCCTTACCTTGGTCTTCGCGTTGACATCTGCTTGGTGCTGCAGCAAAAACTTCACCAGTTTGATGTTCCCGTAATGGGAAGCCACGTGGAGCGGTGTATACCCCATCTGTAAGGCAGATATAAAGGTGAGAGGGTCACATCTCGCCCTCAGAACTGCTCTGCCTGGATGCATCACATGCACTGGTATATTTCCTCTCACTGTTTTTTTCTTTACCATCACTGCCCTCTGCAGACCCAGCCCGCCAAGCCTTCTGGTTCATAAGCCTGTGTTATGACTAGAGATGGGCACAAACTGCACCATGAAACAAATCTGGCTGGATTGTGGTTCGGTTCATGACCCAGTCCAGGGATCCTGTTTTGCTTCAGCAAAACAAAACACCAAGGGGGACAAAGTTCAGCGCATGAACCCAAAAAAATGAACTGTGAACGGGTTCATTCTTCAGAGCGTTCATGATGGTTCATGGTCTTTTGGGTAGCCATGAGCCACAGACCACCGTTTTCCAGTTCATGCCCATCTCTAGTTATGACCAGTTTGCGAAGGTCTGAGCGCTTGTGGCTCAGGTACAGGAAACATCAGGGGACCTCTGATGGCGTAACACAACCGCATTCTCTGGGAGAGGATCCTTTCAGCCTTGTTTCCAACTCTGGTGTCGAATTGATGCGTGAGATTCCGTGCAAAGGCTGTCCTTCTGTCCACCCATGCCCCATAGATGAAGAGCCAACAGAGCACAGCACCTCTGCAGGGTGAGCCAGGAGATCTTCAAGTCAAGCCATCCCACGCTACCCTCTCCCGTCCTGCCTCCCTTCGCAAAATAATAGGGCCGAACCAAAGCTTCCAGTTTGTTATGAAATAAAACACACACGCTTAGACTCTGGGCCTTTTCCTGCTGGTTCTGCGGCCTTTGTGAAGCAAACACATGGAGGCTGAGAGTGGACGGCAATGGGACTCACCCGTGTGGTTGCGTCAACCTGGACTCCTTGCTTGAGAAGGACATCCGCGACTTGAACGTGTCCCTCTTGAGCCACCAAGTGGAGTGGGGTGAGGCCACTCTGGGAAATAAAGAGAGGCTTTAGGATACGCAGAGAGATCATCCATCCATCCATCCATCCATCCATCCATCCATCCATCCATCCAATCCATCCATCCATCCATCCATCCATCCATCCATCCATCCATCCATCCATTCCATCCCAAACATGTATATTTCTGTCCGGCCTTTCACTAGATGCCTTTCAATTTATGTCTCTCCTCTTTCCTACATTATCTTCACACCAACCCTGTGAACTAGGGCAGAAAAAGAGAGAAAGACTGGCCAAAGGTCACCCCATGAGTTTCATGGTCGAGTGGGGGACTAGAAGCCTGCTGTCTTAGTTCCTAGCCCAGGTTCCCCACCTTGGGTCACCCAAGTGGCTTTGGACTATAATTCCCAGAAGCCTTCACCACCAGCTGTGCTGGACAGGGTTTCTGGGAGTTGCAGTCCAAGAACACCTGGGGGACCCAAGATTGGGAACCAGCATTTCTAGTCTAAGCACTCCCCAACGGTGACTCTCAATGCAGGGGAGGCTACTAGAAACCCATGTGGGGCTACAACCTTTTTGTTGAACTGGGACTTTGGTGCCTTTAATAGACTCTAGTAGCTGCTCAGAAGAGGGAGAGGTGAGGGCAGTGCAGCCAGCGGAAGGAAGCAAAAGCTTACAGACTAGAGAATGCATCTTCTACTACAACACCAGGTAAACCATCGCCTGCCAATTATCCCAGAGCATCTGGCATCCTCAAAGACCAGGCAAGTCCACCGGTGGAATCAGCTCCACGAGCCGATCTATGCCTCTGGGCTGTCTCTTCCACAGTTGCCGGAAGGCCACCCCCCTCCTTCTGCAGATGCCCAGATGGTACTTGAGGCCTTTTTCCTGGCGTAGCAGCAAATGACGTGCGGGACCGCTCTTTTGGAAAATATGCTTCTCAAATATATTTTGAGGACGGCTTCTAAACAGGGAGCCTGCACCAGCTTCCCTGCTGTCCGTAAGCGGGGAAGAATGCTTTGGGTGGAGGTGGCAGGAACGGAGCGATACAAGCAGTCGCCTCCTCTGTTTATACATTTTCAAATGAAACCAAGGCTCCAAAGAGACACACGGGATGGGACGGAGGCAGGTCTGCACCCTCCACCAGGGAGCGAAAGGACGTAAGAAGGGGCTCAGAGGCCAAAAAGCAGGCACTAGAGAACCGGCCAGCGGCGTAGGCGGATAGCCGCTCTCTCCTCTTGCCATTAAGGCAATAGGCAGGGCTTGAAAATAGGCTTGTCTCAGACTAAGACGGAGACTAAGCTAAAGAAGCCAATGATCAGTTTGATATCAGAGTGCTTCCTGTTGCTCACCCCTTCCACAAAGAACAGCATGCTGCTCCTAAACATGGAGGCTCCATCTCATTCTCATAGGTCGTAAACCTAAGCACCAGGAGGAGTGGCATCCATAAAGAGGGTGCAATAAAACAACAGCAGAGGCCGGGATGCCTCTGTCCCCTTGACTTCTCGAGACACTGAGCTTGCCCTCTTTCTCCTGCTGGAAGGAGCGCATGGTGTCTTCTGCCCACCAAGAAGGGGAAAGAGAGAGAGCTGCTCACCTTGTTGCCCAAGTTGCCATTGGCCTGCTTGGAGAGGAGCAGCACCACCATTTCCGCGTGGCCCTCCTGGGCCGCCAGGTGCAGCGGCGTCACCCCTTGCGTGGACTCGGCGTTGGCGGAAGCACCGTACTGCAGCAGGCTGATGGCCACCTCCATCTGGTTCTGCCGAGCGGCGATGTGGAGCGGGGTGTATCCGTTCTGTGCAGGAGAGATCACCAACCCAGAAGGCTAAAGCCACGGTGGGAGAGCTTCCAAGGGATGCCCCTGTATCCCTTGCCCTGCCTAGGCTAGACATTACAGGAGAACATGGCAGGCGGGTGAAGCCACAGAGCTGACCCTTCCAGGTCTCCAGAGGTCCCAGCCCAGCCGTTCCACCTGCTTCAGGGCCTCCTGTATTTTTCTAAGCTGTATAATATCAGAAGGATGCAACCGCCTTGCACCTCCAGACTTCACCTCTGTCTCTGTGACGGGTGCCCAAAGCCACCCCTGCTTATTCGGGGAGCTTCCAGATTCTCCCAGTCTGTTCCCCCCCACACACCGCCCTTCCATGCTAGACCATCCTCCCAGAACAGCTCTTCTCCTTTGAAAGCAAGGATCAGCTGTTTTGCTTCCCAGTCCCTAAAACCATGGGTTAAGAAACAGGACGTGGACCTCTTGGTTCACAGCCCTCTTCTCTTCCACGGCCGCGTTCTGGCCCCAGAAGTCTGCTAGGGTGTCAGGAGCACCTTACCCAAGCCACGCTGTGTGGGGAGGCCCCCTTCGGCAGCAGCACTTTGACAATGTCCAGGTTGTTGTGGTGGACAGCTACGTGGAGGGGCGTGAGGCCATTCTGTAGCGGAGGAAGAACAAGACAGGCGAGCTGGCGGGATTACCCCATCACCTCCCAAGGCCACCTGCATCCTGAAGCAACAGCCTATGGAAAACCCTCCGTGACTTTTTAAAGCCCCCCCTCTCTGTTGCCGATGAACGGGCTGCCACGCTACTGTCTTCCCGAAGCACAGAAGATGAAGGCAGCCATTTTGCTCTGAAACAAGAAGCACCGTGAGGCATACCTTGTTTTCATGCTCTTCAGGGAACAGGGATTCACATGGAAAACAAGGTGTGCCCTCCCCACGCCTCTTGTTTCAAATCCAAACGGCTTTGTTTTCGCTACTGCTGCTTCTGGTGGGATACGGCAACGATCCAATGGAGCTGTCCACCTTCCCCTCACTGTAAGAGCAAATATACACACCTTCCCAGCCGCGTTGGGCTGCGCGTTGTGCTCCAGCAGCACCTCGGCCACATCCACTTTCCCGTATTTGGAAGCAACGTGCAGAGGGGTAAATCCTTTCTGGGGAGAAACAAGGATCATCAGTGCTTGGTGTCAGAGGGGGAGAAGCAAGTCTCGAGTGGGGCCTCCGGAAGGATTGAGATGGCTTCCCAAGAGCTGGTCTGAGGTTTAAACCAGGACTTTACCAATGTTTCTTCTGAGGGTTGCTCCAGACTACTCTCGAAAAGAATTTAGAAAGCACGCTCAGTTGCTGGGAAGTAAACTTCCCAGCTCAACATGAGGTCAGCAATAGATGAAAGGAAGAGAACGAGGGCAGAAAAGCAGCTGGGGATAGGGAGGGAGTTCCAGGTCGCCGTCCGATGTTTATGCTAGCTTAAGGGCAATGGTGAAAATCAGAGAAGGGAATTTTTGCTTGCATTCCTTGTCGCCGGTCAGTTGTGCGGCTTGGCGCCTGATGAGGACTAGAAATCGTGCCTCTTCAACCCGCTGGACTACTGTAACACGCTCTACATGGCACTGCCTTTGGAAATGGTCAGGAGGCTTCAGCAGGTCCAAAATGCAGCAGCCAGATTGTTAACTAGGACTGGTTATGGGGATCCCATAACCCCCCCCCCGTTACAGCAGCTCCATGGGCTGCCGATCTGTTTCTGGGCACAATTCAAAGTACTTGTTCTAACCTATAAAGTCCTAAAGAGGGGCCCGAGTTATCTCAAGGCCCACACCTCCCTTTATGAGCCTGCTGGCACATTAAGATCACCAGGAGAAGCCTTTTTCCAGTCCCACCACCTGGGTGGATACACAGGGAAGGGCCTTCTCTGTCGCTGCTCCCAGAGACTCTGGAACTCCCTGCCACTGGAGACCTGACTGGCCCCATCTTTGTTGTCCTTCTGCAATCGGGTGAAGAACCTTTCTCTTCAGGCCAGCTTGCCCCAAGTGGATGTCTGCCAAATGAGGTTTTCACAATGGATTGTTGTACCTTACTGCACTGAATGCCGTTTATAAATGAGGTTTTCACAATGGATTGTTGTACGTTACTGCACTGAATGCTGTTTATGTTTCTTGGTATTGCATTCGTTGATCCTTTCAGTATTCTATACGCATCGTTATGGTATTGTATTCATTGATCCTTTCAGTATTCTATACGCATTGTTACTAAATTAAATCCTTTAATTGCTGTAAGCTGCCTGGGGTCCTTTTTAAAGGAGAAAGGCGGGTTCAAAATAATTTAAATAAAATTAAGAATAAACTCAACTGACAGCCATCTCTCGCTGCTGTTTACGCCCCGGCATTTACCCCGGCCCAGATACCCACAGGGATCCCTGCCCAATGACCCCGTTTCCCTACCTTGGTCATGACTGTCTGGGAAGCTCCCTTCTCGAGCAAGGTGCAGGCACAGTCCAGGTGGCCCTCGCGGGCTGTGATGTGCAGAGGGGTGTGCCCGGCTGTCGTAGAAAGGTTGGGATCGGCGCCGCTCTCGAGGAGGAGCTTCACCATGGCGCAGTGGCCCAGGCGGGCCGCACAGTGCAGGGGGGTCTGGTCATCCTGCAAAAAAAGGGGGGACACTAAGGGAGCATCTTAGCCACAGACACACACACACACCCCTTGGGGAGCTCCCTGTCTCGTGATGTGCTCTCAGGGAGGTCTGTTTTCGACCGGAGTTTGGGCGGCCGATTCTTGTTTCCTCCCAAGACCCAGAAGGTCGGGCTTCTCACCTTCGCTTTGGCATTCACTTTGGCCTTGTTCTGGAGCAGGTATTTTGCAACCTCCGTGTGGCCCGCCCGGGCCGCCATGTGCAGTGGCGTTTCCACCTTCTATGGAATTTCAACAACAACAATTAAAAAGGAACAAATTTCAGAGAACAACTGAACATGAGGGAGGGAAAAAAACCCATTCCCCAATCATCTAAGGACTGGCCGAAGTGACATTTTTGCACCCCCATCCTACAAGCAAGACCTGAATCAGCCATCCTGTGTCCCAACCACGCCTTGGCAAGACATATAACAACAACAATTGCAATTTGCCAATCTTCTCCTTTCCCCTAAGGATAACTCATTACCCCTAATGACATAAAACATTAGCAACTGATGGGATTCTTAGTTACTTTGCTCTTAGTTCTCCATTACCAAAGAACGCCTTATGGTTGAGAAGAGGCTGGTATAAAAACATTCAACTCAAAGGCCTCCCAAAATGAGCAAAGCTTTGCCCTGTCAATTGCATAAATAGACCAATGATACCATTTTATATGATAGCTAGATTACAAATGCCACATTTGACGTGGAACCCTGGAACTCCCTGCCACTGGAGGCCAGACTAGTCCCATCTTTACTGTCCTTCCGTGGGCCAGACTGGCCCCAGCTTTACTGTCCTTCCACGGGCATGCAAAGATCTTTCTCATCAGGCAGGCTTTTCCTTCATGACTGGTGGTCTGAGCAGGGTTTTCAATGGACTGTTGTGTTCTGTTGTTTTAAATGTGTTTTAGTATTGGTTCTATTTAATACTTGTTTAATTCTTTTTTTAATATTTGTATACTCACCATTTTAGCTTTTAAATATTGTCCTTTTAATAATAATGTAAGCTACCTTGGGTCCTTTTTAAGGAGAAAGGTGAGATAAAAAATATTTGAAATAAATGAATAAATAAATGAATAAATAATCTCCATTCCTCTTCTCCAGAAAAACCTTGGACAACGGAAAGTAGTCCCTGCTACAAGTTTCAAAACTGTCACGGACTCCCATCCCTGCTCACCACGTTAGAGACGTTGGGAGAGGCTCCTCGTTGCAGGAGAATCTTGACGATGGGAAGGTTCCCCATGAAAGAGGCTACATGAAGAGGGGTCAGTCCAGACTGTGGAGAGAAGGGAGGGAAGGGAAGAGAGGAAAGCTAAATGAATGAAGGCCTGTCTTTCCTGATCTGTTGAGCATAATAAACTGAACTGAACTGATTTGAATTGAATTGAATGGAACTGAATTAAATGGAACTGAACTGAACTGAATTGAATTGAATGGAACTGAATTAAATGGAACTGAATTGAACTGAATTGAATTGAATTGAACTGAAGGAGTGTCATTTAAGCAGATTATACTCCGTGCCATGAGATGAGATATTGTCGCTCAGTCTTTGGGCCTAGACAAAAAGCCAGCTCTGCCTCTCAAATATCATAGTCACACAGGCAACATTTTTGCATAATAATCCAAAAGAATACCTGAATTAGGAGCAGAAACCCCCTAATTAGGCTTCAGGGATGGTTAATCCACCCTCCCCGACACACACACACACACACACACACACACACTCTTTCACTCTTTCATCACAAGTTGAAGACCCATCTCTTTGGATGGGCTTTTGATAAATATCTGAGTCCCTGGATGCTGGTTTTCTTGTTTTTCTAAGTTTGTTTTAAAAGTTGTAAATGCTTTTAGTTTATCAATGGACTTTTAATTGTTACTGCAGTTCAGTGGCTTTTTGATCTGTAATTTATTGTGTCTTCAGTATTACTTCTTGCAACATTGTGATTCACCTAGAGTCCCCTCGCCATGAGAAAGGTGGATGGCAAAGGATACAAAATCAATAAAATAAATAAATAGTACCGAATCATTTTTCAAAAGAGGCGGAAATGTATCAAAAGCAAGAGTTTGTTTGGCCTAAGCTTTTACGAATGACAGCCATACAGACTCCAGCTCTTGATACTTGGGCCGTGATGCAACGAGAACATGCATTGATAGAAGCGGGGTGTGTGGTCCACAACAGTTGATGCTAAATAAAAAAATATTTGTTTTTAGGGTACCACAAGACCCTTGGTGGCTTTACTCCAAAACAGTAACTTCTCCGAGCCGTGCCTGGTCTAATCCAGCAGGCTCTCCTGAGATTCCTGCCCTGTTTGATGCATGAAAGATTTCAGAGGGGTTTCTGCCGGACAAGAGAAAACGGATACGCAAGGGTAATGGCTTCTACTAAAGGGAAGATGATTAACAACTGAACATTCTGCAAGCAGTCAAAAACCTTTCCATGACTACATTCTCTCTACATCTGCCAAGAGGTTTCTCTTCACTACAAGCCAAATTGTGACTCAGTTCCTGAGGAAAACATCGGCCAGGGTCCCACACTCCTACTTTGGTGACACAGATAAAAATTCCTTCCAGCATCCAAGCCGTGATCCACCAAAACATCAGCGTGGCCAAGAAAGTCCAATACGGTATGAGTCATTCCGAATGTCATTTTATGGCAGGGTAAGAAATTGTGGAGAGCTGGCTTTTTAGTGTGAAAACTCTGTTTCCCTCTTGGCTAAGACAGGTTATTTATGAGATTTCCACACATTCAAGACTAAGAATCCTGTTTAGTTCTCTAGACCAGGCCTGGCCCGTGGGAAACAGTGCGCCTTCTCTGTGCGAATGCAGGTCACAAGCGTTGACCTTTGGCTTTGCCAGGCGCATGGCACTGGAGCTTGATGGGTTCAAGGCCCGGATGTGAGCGTTAATCACTTCCTGCGCTTATCTCAGAGAAGGCTGATGGTGCAGCTACATTTCCCAAGGACCCATTTCCCCCAGGGAAATATATCTCCCAAATTATATATATTACCCAAAAGTGGAGAGAACTCTTCTAACAAGCCAACACGAGGTGGCTTGAGAACTCAGAGGCAGGACAAAAAAGTCTTTCTCTTTCCTCACCACAAGAAAAGTGTCACAACTGCTCCCAACCCTCTTCTGCCTTGCTAACCTTTACAAAGAGTTGTGTTTAAAGGGAGGGGTGTGTGAAGATTTCAGGAGGATTGAGGCAGGTGGAGTGGAAGGTGGGGAGGTTCTGGGTTCTGGGCCTGGCTACATTTCTCTTAGTAGGCTGGATAGCTCAGTGCAGAGCCAGAGGTTGGAAGTTCAATCCCCCACCTAGCTTCCTGTGAGTAAAGCCAGCCTGGGTAGCCTTGGGCCAGCTGCGCAGACGACCCCGAGAAGAAGGGAATGGGAAACCACATCTGAGTTCTCTCTATCTAGGAAACCCTAAAAAGGGACACCATAAAGTCATCTTGAAGTAGGCTGGATAGCTCAGTGCAGAGCCAGAGGTTGGAAGTTCAATCCCCCACCTAGCTTCCTGTGAGTAAGGCCAGCCTGGCTGGCCTTGGGCCAGCTGCGCAGACAACCCCTAGAAGAAGGGAATGGGAAACCACATCTGAGTTCTCTCTATCTAGGAAACCCTAAAAAGGGACACCATAAAGTCATCTTGAAGGCTGATGAGGGTTTTAAATTTCTCTTGGCTACAAAATGGACCCTTCCCTCCAGACTCCACCCAGGTCAATACAATGTGAGCAGAAACAGTGATTTGAACTTGAAACCCATCTCCCATTTTCCACAGGGAATAGAGGAGGGCTGTCGGCTTCCTAGAAGACCAACAGCGGATGGGCTCTTTTTATCCCGATGGCCGGCAAGTTGTGAATTTAAAAGAACGTCAATAGCAACTGCTCTGGTGCACTCACAAGTAGCAGTCATAACTCACGCTGTTTTTCTGGAGTTTTGCAACCTTGCAATCTTGTTTGCAACCTTGTTGCTGCAAGCAGTCATGTTTGTTCAGATTGCTGTTTGATCTATTCAACTGTAATGAAACGTTTTATTCTTCCTCTTACTAAAGTTCCAGAGTGAGTTATTGGAACTGTAAGTTCCAGTTGATGAGAAAAAGGGGTGGAGCTTGGAAGTTAATTCTGCTTTGGGAATCCCTGCACTTCTGCTGCACAGCCAGAGGAATTGAAACAAAATTCAAAACTGCAACTGTTTTTTCCCCCCTCTAAAATGTCTGCAAGGCTTAATTAGTATAATTATTTAGCTGACATGGATCCTTTAAAGGAGAAAGGCAAGGTAAAATTATTTTAATTCAATTAAAAAGCAAATAAATGTCTACTATGTTCAGCCTCCACCGCAAGCCTGGCAACCATCCAGATATGTTGGACTACAATTCCTGACACTGCCTGCCCAGAAGGCTGGCTAGGAATGGTGGGAGTTGTAGTCCATTGCACCAGGGGAGGCAGCCAAGTTGGGGACAGCTGTCTTGGGCAATCCACGCTAGCAGCAAAACAAGAGAAACTGAGTCACGTGTTCAGTCATTGTCACATGATGGATGGTATGCAACTTCCTGTCTCACAAACAGGGAAGCCGGGTACCTCGGTGACCGCATCGATGGAGGCCCCCATCTTCAGAAGCAGCTCCATCACCCTGATGTGGTTCTTCTTGCAAGCGATGTGCAGAGGGGTGAACCCATTCTGCAAGAAAACACACACACACACACACACAGAGAGAGAGAGAGAGAGAGAGAGAGAGAGAGAGAGAGGCCTGTCAGTGTCATGGCAGAAGCATGTGGCCTAACCCTGCCCTCCCTCTGCCACCTCTTCGGCTCACCAATGCCCGTGCATTGGGCTTTGCACCCTTTTCCAGCAGGACCTTAGCCACCCGGTGGTGGCCACAGTGGGCAGCCACATGCAAGGGCGTCAGGTGGTCCAGTGTGATGTCATCGATGTCGGCGTTGTACTGCAAGAGAAGCCGCACGCAGTCCAGGTGGTCCCCTTGGGAAGCCATGTGGATGGGGGACAGCCCATTCTGTGGGAGGGAAGGACACCGTGAGAACCTTATCCCTCCCCATGCTGCTGAAGGACAAGGTGGCCGAAACCACGGGGCTGGCATTGCAAGAAGGGCAACCTCAGACCCCAACTCTTGATCCTGTTACGAAGCAAAGGTGGTCCCCTTGGGAAGCCATGTGGATGGGGGACAGCCCCTTCTGTGAGAGGGAAGGACACCGTGAGAGCCTTATCCCTCCCCACGCTGCTGAAGGACAAGGTGGCCGAAACCACGGGGCTGGCATTGCAAGAAGGGCAACCTCAGATCACACGACTCTTGATCCTATTACGAAGCTCAGCTAAGCCCTGCTTTCCGCCTGCAGGAACCTGTGTTACTGCTTCTCTTTTCATTCCAGCCACATCGTTCCAATTTCATCCACCTCCCTGTCTTTCCGTGAGGATTCAATGATATTGACCGTCCTTCTTCCATGACAGCCTTCCCAACCTGATGCTCTCCAGAGGTTTTGGACCTCCATGCTCATCATCTCTGGCCATTAGCCATCGTGGATGGGGCTCGTGAGCTCTGTAGACCCAAATATCTGGACGTCCTCACTTACGGGACTGTTATGCCCCAGTGTGACCAAAGCAGAAAGGAGTACTCAGGGCACAGCTGTGCAGGCAAGGGGGTGGAGTTGTATAGGCAGGAACCAGTTGGTTTATGAGCATGGGTCTCCACCTCTTAAGGAGTTCCGAAAGAGACCCCTTTCCTTAGAAAAGTGCAGACAGAAGGGTATGCTAGACCAATGGTCCTCAACATTGGGCCTCCAGATGTTATTGAACTACAACTCTCAGAAGCCTTCGCCACCAACTCTGCTGGCCAGGATTTCTGGGAGTTGAAGTCCAAGAACATCTGGAGGCTCAAGGTTGGGGACCACTGTGCTAGACAACACTTTGTTGTGTGTTTTCCTTTTTTAAATTATCGTCACGGTTCTCAGCCTTGCGTCCCCAGATGTTCTTGGACTAAAACTCCCAGAAGGCTTCACCAATAGCTCTGCTGGCCAGAACATCTGGGAGCTCTAGACCAAGAACATGTGGTGACCCAAAGTTGTGAACCACTGTTTTAAAGAGTGCTAGAGTTCAGCAACTGAGGGAGGAGAGCTGAAGTTTAGCGGTCAGGGTGGGAGCCGACAAAAGTGAAAAACTGTTCTATCCTTGGTGGTCCTCTGTCCCACCAAGCCTAGCCCACTCAGACCTTAGAAAGGAGAGGTCTACATATTTGTAGTTTTAGACTACAACTCCCAGAATCCCCCAGACAGCACAGCATAGGGAGTTCTGAGAGATGCAGTACACAAATTTGCAAATCCACGAAAACCATCTTTATGCAACTCCCAGAGCTACCCAGTCTCCTCCTAGTGGCCATGAAAGTACAGGTAGTTGATTCAAGGAGTAGCAGCCTACAAAAGTTACTTTTCCAAGTACTGCCGTCACTCTACTGCATGTCACCTTGGTTTTAGCTTGGATGGGAGCTCCGTGGTCCAGCAAGATTTCTGCGATCCGTACATGGCCATTCCTAGATGCACAGTGCAACGGCGTCAGCTCGTCCTGTAGAGATAACAGTTGCAAACTTAAGCAGGGAAACCTTCTCAGCATTACTAGTCTTGTAACCCAGCCTGCCTACCTACCCTCTTGCCCCAGTCTCCTCCTAGTGGCCATGAAAGTAGTTGATTCAAGGAGTAGCAGCCTACAAAAGTTACTTTTCCAAGTACTGCCGTCGCTCTACTGCATGTCACCTTGGTTTTAGCTTGGATGGGAGCTCCGTGGTCCAGCAAGATTTCTGCGATCCGTACATGGCCATTCCTAGATGCACAGTGCAACGGCGTCAGCTCATCCTGTAGAGATAACAGTTGCAAAAGGAAGCAGGGAAACCTTCAAGCATTGCTAGTCTTGTAGCCCAGCCTGCCTACCCACCCTCTTGCAGAATAATAGAGCAAGGGTCCCCTACCTGGAGATCTGTAAGTCGAACCGTCTGTAAGTCGAGGATCCACTGTAGAGCAAGGGTCCCTTACCTGGAGTCACCAGATGTCCTTGGACTAAAACTCCCAGAAGCCTTTACCACTAGTTGTGCTGGCTGGGATTTCTGGGAGCTGCAGTCCAAGAACATCTGGGGAACCAAGTCTGGGAACCACTGCCCTAAAGCAAACTAATAACTAAAGGCATCATCATAATATGTTAATACAGTAGGACCCCAGCATCCACAGGATCAGTATCCACTGATTCACTTATCCACAGTCTCAAAATATTAAAAGAAAAATCCTTGAAATACATATTTTGAAAGATGAAGTTAACAGAATTGACCACTAGAGAGAAACAGATACCGTGCTATTATAGCATTTGCTATTAGAATAGAGTTTGCTATAATCGGTGTTTTTCAGCATCCACGGATTAGGTAGAGCTTGGAATTGACCCCCGTGGATACGTGGGTTCTAATATAACTCCCATGTGAAGCACTCCCTGCTCTGAGGAAAACACATGCAAAAGCCTGCCTGGATCAGTGCTGGGAGCGAAGAATCAGTAAGAGTCTCCAGGTCCTTTTATCACTGCTGAAGCAACAGTTCGTGTAAATCTCTGGACTTTTTTTTACCAAGAAGGCAGATTAAAAGGGGAATTGCCAGCACTGGCACTTGGCAGAGCAACTGTCTTCTATACACCTTCCTGCTTCTCTCAGTAGGCGTGAGAGACTGGTCCGGCTCCTCTCCCCCATCCCACAGCTGAAGCCCCTCTGAAGGCTGAACTCACCTTGGTCCGCGTCTCGATGTGGGCCCCCCGGTCAAGCAGCAGGCGCACCATGATGATGTTGCCCCGGCGCGAGGCAATGTGCAGAGGGGTGATGCCATTCTGCATTTGGGGGAAGAGAAAGGAGTCATGGTTAGGTCTCCTCTTGAGCATTGCGTCCAGTTCTGGACAACACACTTTTAAGGAGGAGGCCGACAAACTGAAGCAAGTTCAAAGGATGATCCGGGGTCTATAAACCGAGCCTTGTGAGGAAAGACTGACAAAACTGGGCACGTTTATCCTTGAGATGAAGAAGCCTGAGGGGAGATAAATATGGTCAGTTCAAAGGAGGGCAGCAAGGATGATCCGGGGTCTATAAACTGAGCCTTGTGAGGAAAGACTGACAAAATTCGGCACCTTTATCCTTGAGACGAAGAAGCCTGAGGGGAGATAAATAGGGTCACACTTTTCAAAGACTTGACAGAGGAGGGGCAGGGTCTGTTCTCAATCATCCCAGAGTGCGGGGCATGTCATCATGGGCTCAGACTACAGGAAGCCAGATTTAGGCTGAATATCAGGGAAAACGTCTCAACTGTTAGAGCAGTACGACAATGAACTCAGAAGGTGGGGAGTGGAAAAAATAAATAGGAAGAGGTTTATCCTCAATGGAACCCATGACCTCAGAAGGTGGGGAGTGGAGAAAATAAATAGGAAGAGGTTTATCCTCCCTTTTTGCTCACACAAGAAGGATGTGTGTGTCATCCAGTGCACTTGAGTGGAGGCAGAGCCAGAAAAGGAAGCAAAAGGTTTACTTCCTAGTGAGGAAACAAAAACGAAGTCTTGCAATCTGATACCAATAAAGGAGGGCACAGGAGATTTGGGGGAAAGGGCTGGTTTCCCACACACACACATTCATACTTTGTACTCAGCTTGGGTCCAGCTCTCGGGCCAGGGAGCCCCCCCTCCCCTGTAACCTGAAAAGGTTTAGCCGAGGCACAAGTTCTACTCCCTCTGGAAGGACAAGTCAAAAAGCCCAGGGCGTGGGGGGGAGCCTCCCGTGGTGCCAGTGGAGAACAGGTTGCACCTACCTGGGGGGTGAAGTTGACGCTCGCGCCACGGTTCAGCAACAACTGGGCCACGTTGAGGTTCTCATAATGTGCGGCAATGTGCAATGGGGTAAAACCCGTCTGCAGGGGAAAAAAGGGAGGCAGGACTAAGGAACGGAGACAGTGTGGTGACAGGGACCTGAGAACATTTGGGAAAGTGCTGGGGTTTACTCCAGAATGGATCTTGTCCCTTCCTTGCACTGGAGCAGGCTGGTAATAAGACACAGAATGGAGCTCAGACCAAACTAATGTGCGGCAATGTGCAATGGGGTAAAACCCGTCTGCAGGGGAAAAAAGGGAGGCAGGACTAAGGAACGGAGACAGTGTGGTGACAGGGACCTGAGAACATTTGGGAAAGTGCTGGGGTTTACTCCAGAATGGATCTTGTCCCTTCCTTGCACTGGAGCAGGCTGGTAATAAGACACAGAATGGAGCTCAGACCAAACAAGATTGGTCTCCAGAATGGATCTTGTCCCTTCCTTGCATTGGAGCAGGCTCGTAATGAGACACAGAATGGAGATCAGACCAAACAAGATTGGTTCCATGAAGCTCTCTGTATGAGTCTGCTTGTAAATCCACCCTGAGCGTGTTATGTCCTGTCTCGTCAGAACTGACTTATAGCGACCCTTTTCAAGGTAAGTGAGATATTTAAGGAGGGGCTTTACCAGTTCCCCTCCCACAATGGGTTTCCATGGCTGAGCGGGGATTCAAACCCATGCCTACTGAGTCCATGGCTGAGCGGGGATTCAAACCCAGGCCTACTGAGTCCGTCTGTCACTCTATCCACTACACCACACTGGATACCAAACCAAGCTTAGGTCACTCCAAACTCTTGGAAGAAGAGCTGTGTGCAAAAATGATGTATATAATAATTGTGTGCCAGCAAGTTGGTTCTGACTTATGGCAACCCTTTCCAAAGTTTGGATTTAGAGAATACTCGGAAGTGGTTTTCTCATTCCCTTCCTCTAGGGGCGCTGTGGGATGGTGCAGCTGGCCCAAGGCTACCCAGGCTGGCTCTTCTCCCAGGAGGCCCAGTGGGGGAATCAAACTCCCAACTTCTGGCTCCGCAGCCAGATACTTAAACCAGACATATTTGTCTGACTGGGGCCAAAGTACGAAGGAGGGGCGGACAAATGCAGGCTGCCCAACGGATCTCCCCGGACGTTGATTAGATACCTTGGAAAGGACGTCAGCATTCGGGTCATTCTGCAAGAGCACCGCGGCCGTACGTGTGTCGTCATTGCGGGCGGCGATGTGCAGTGCCGGGAGACGCACCTTGCCCTTTGTCCCGTAGTTGATCAGGTGGGCCACCACGTTCTCGTGGCCCTGCTGGAGAGCCACGGCCAGTGGCGTGAAGCCATCCTGGTGGGATTCAGGGAAGAAGGAAGACAGGTGAGCAAACCAGTCCATGCACCATTGCAAGGTCATGTATGGAAGAAATGCAAGGCAGGCATACTGCAACTACTCTGTGTGTGTGTGTGTGCGTTTGTGTGTGCATGTGCACATGTGTGTGGTTGATACTCACCTCGGTGGCCACATTTTGATTGGCGCCATTCTCCAACAAGAACTTCACCACCTCCAGGTGGTTCTCTTGGGCTGCCATATACAGGGGCGTGAAGCCTTTCTGTGAACACAGAATCAGTGCCTCGTATTCCAGCTCCACACAACAACAACAACAACAGCAACCACAGCTGCAGTGGATCGGGGACAGGTACAAGGGGGTGGGGGGAAAACATGGATCCCTTTACTGGGATGAACACAAAGAGCTTGGCACGGGGTAAAATTCAAGGGAATCCAGTATCTTGCAGGCAAGATAAGTGCAAGGCCTATTTCAGAGTCTTGACTGCATGTCGCATTCAAGCTGTTACGTAGACACAAGCAGGTCTGTTAACCAGCTCTTGAACCTGAGAGGAAAAAGGCTGGGATCTGGGACAGACCAAAGAGTAGGAGAAGCTACTCTTCGTTCCAGTCACGGAGGTCTCTCTGCTCCTCCTCCTGCATCCAATAAAGCAGTATATTAAGGCTCAGGAAAGCTGCAGGAAACATCCTCCCGGATCATTTAGCCTTTGCTGACAAGGAACCCTGCCTGCCTACGAAACACAGTCTGTTTATTTGGAGGGGAAAGGGAGGTTTACACCAGAAGCTTCTCGGATTATGCCCCATAACAGGAGAGGGAAGGGGATCAGGAGGTGCGTTTCCAGGATCCAAAGCACAGGGTCTTGTCTTGGGGTCACATAGTGGAGGAGAGAAGGCAAGGTGGAGCTGGGGGGACTGTGGGGCTAAGGTTCAGGAAGGTATTGCTCACGGGAAGAAGGCTTTAGAAAAGAGGGAAACAATGCAGAAATTTTTTTTTCTGCATTTTCAACCGATTCCGTTCGCCTGTCGAGTCCTGCCGAGCCAAAGAGGGATGGAAAGATTCAGGGAAAGGGATGACATTATACAAAAATAAGAGGGCAGACATTCAAGCAAACATCTGGGGTCGCCAGCTGTTTACTCACCTACCTGCTGAGCAAAAGGACCGCCCGCTGACGTGGAGAGACTGCCCTATTCAGGGCGAAGGGCTCAGAAATAAAAGACCCACCGCATTTTGTGTTTGTGCAACCCGAATGTAAGCACAGGGCAACACTTTCCTT